CCAAGGGGGCCCCAGAAAAGGGCCCCCGTATGTATACAAGGGACACTTTAAAGAATCTGGGATTTATCCATATTTCTTCATTGCTTTTTAAATAGTTAATATCTTTTGTTGCCGGAAATTCATTTACTGACCTGCCTGGCTAGCTGGCTAGCTCTCCAGCTAGCTAGCTAGCCAGCTAGCTACCTATGTGGCTAGCTAGCTCGCTAGCTAGCTGGCTGGCTGGCCATTTACCCAGCCGCCTTGCTCTCTAGCCGGAGCCAGCTGGGTAGCTAGCCAGCTAGCTAGCTGGCTACCAGCTAGCTGGCTGGCTGGCTAGCCGGACGGGTACCTTTCCTGGTACTTGGCCAGCTAGCCAGCTGGCTAGCCAGCTGGCTAGCCTCCTTGCTAGCCAGCTAGCTAGCTAGCTCGGTAGCCAGCTGGCTAGCCAGATAGCTAGCCAGCTTGCCAGCTAGCTAGCCAGCTAGCTAGCCAGCTAGCTGTGGCTCGAAGGCCTCATTTCACTGTTCGTTTTTTCTTCTTTTTGTGGCTGCGCTTGGCGGCCCATGCGGGTTTCCAGTTGGGTTTGGCGCTGCTGCGTTCTGCTGCATTTATTTCTTTATTTCTTTTTGAATTTAAAAGTTCTTTTTCTTTTGTTTCTGTCTCCGTCTCCTCGCTGTCCGTGTCTGTTGCTGCACTGCTGAGCTCCGCGTCTTCCAAAGGCCCTTCTGCAGCAGCAAAAAAAAAAAACCCCAAGTGCTCAGGTGTACGTACACCTGGTGGCTGCACGCAGTTTCGCCACCAGCTGGACCCGAAATTCGTTTTTTTGGATATTTTTAAACTATTATTATTATTATTATTATTAAATAAAAACATATTTATGCAAAGAGCTGCAGAAAAATTCGCTTGGAAGGCAGAAAGACGCGCATGCATTTTAGCGGCAAAAGCAGAAGCTGCTGCATGCATGCAAGTGCGTGCATGCAAGTGCATGCAAGTGCATGCAAATGCATGCATGCAGCCTAAATTGTACCTTTTTTCGGGCATTTTCACATGCAAACATAGTATTAAAGGCAGCTCCGGGGTAAAGGCAAAGAAAACCCACTTTCTAAAAGTCTTTCATATTTCTCCTCTGTGATTCTCCCTCGCCGAAGTTTGCGGGCCATTCGCTCTGCAAGCAAAGCTCTAAAATGCCTTTATTTATCTTAATAAAACCAAACGCATTTAATATGCATGCAACTCATTTATCCACGCGCTCTTGCTTTCAATCGTTTACATCCGCGTCTACTCGTTTTTCCTTGCATGCATGCATGCATGCATGCATGCATGCATTTGCGCGTGCATGCATTTATGCATGCATGCATGCATGCATGCATGCATGCCTGCATGCATGCATGCCTGCATTTCTTTTCTTAAGTTATTCTTCTTTGGTAGTTCCACATGCAGCTGCAGAGGCCCCATCAGAAGGCGCTTTTGCTGTTTCAGTCTTTAGACTTTTAAAAATATTCTAATTATTTTAAAAAGCTCCAAATGGAATCTTGATTTTTTATTTATTCAAAATAGTCAAAGACAAAACCCAAAAAGCCTTTCTCTTGCCAACTACTGACGCACCCTCAAAAGCCAACTCCCGCCATTCCTCCAGCGCATTATTTCTGCAAACAAATCCCCAAATTCCCACGCCCACCAGGTGTACGTACACCCCAAAATGCATGCATGCATGCATGCATGCATGCATGCATGGGGCCCTTGTTTTGGGGCTTTGCAAGGGGAAGAGGGTCTTCTTTCTTTCTCCTTTTGCGCCTATCTCCAGACCTGTTTGAAGGCTATTTTTCTGTGCTGCTGCCCGTGCCTCCCGCGGCGGTTTGCTGCTGCAGACGTGCTGCAGCAGCAGCAGCAAAGCGCTTCATGCGGCAGCACCAGCAGCAAAGGACTTACTTTTTGGCGCGTCTCTTTTCGCTGGTGGTTCTCTTTTGTTTTTTCTGCGCGCCCGGTTTGCTGCTGGCCTTTTCCTGCTGCTTCTTCTTCCGTTCCTTCTCCTTCTGCTGCTGCTGCCGCTTGGCCCGCAGCTGCTGCAGCTGCTGCTGCCGCTGCTGCTCCCGCTCCAAGTCATACTTGTAAGGAACTGATAAAGGGTCTACGGGGCTTTGGACAAAACTCTTGAGGCTTTTCCCCACAACTTCGCGCATGCGCGGCAGCCGCAGCAGCCGCAGCGCCGTCCCCAGCTTGCCCAGGTCCAGTTGCTGCAGCAGCAGCAGCAGCAGCAGCAGCAGCAGCGGCAAAGAGCAGCAGCAGCAAACGCAACGCGGAACGCGGAAGGATAAGGCAGTCAGAAACACGGCGAGCACGGCCAGCCACTACAGACGCATTTTTGTGCTACCACCACTGCTGCTGCGGCTGCTGCTGCTGCTGCTGCTGCTGCTACTGCTGTTGCTGCTGTTGCTGCTGCTGCTGCTGCTGCTGCTGCTACTGCCCACCGCATAGGGCAGGAGAAAAGAAAGTTGGTGCTCCTTGTAGGCGCGGATAAAAG